CATTCATTCTTCACTTGGCAACAAAAAGTGAGAAGACATTCTCACCCTACGCTCCATTCTGGAGCTTTCAGTCACATCAGATGATCTTCAAATGTTGTTCTTTGTCAACTTGCAACAACCTTGTGTGGGTCACTTTGGCACACAAACCCAGTTTCCCATCCTTACTTCAACCAGTGGCCTGTGGTGACAGGCTGTGAAAAGATGGAATTAATCATTATATCACCAATACTACCTTTAATTTGATCACCATCTGTGTATGCTACTGCAGGCTAAAGGAACCACAACATTAGATGTTTACACTTACTATTTGAATCACTGAAAATTGATACAGCGACTTAACGTCATATACAGGTGTCATCGCTCACCTTAACTGATATCCTTCTGCCAGGGGGGCAAGTGAGCACAGTGAAACTTCTGCAAAGACTGAAGCAGCACATCTCATGTCACTCTGCTTTTCTCCCTCTATCCACATTTTGATCTTACTCTAGCTCCAAAAATGTGAGGCACTTATGTATTAATTCCTGCACCTACAAACCTTGTATCAGGAATGTGGACTTAAAAATTAAGACATTTTTCTCACAGTTCTCTTCAATCTGCTGTCACTGAATTGTGCCTCATTACTATGTCACTTTGGACAAAAGCATGTGCCAAAGAACAAAAGTAACTGTAAATGTGACTCGGGTGTCTGGAACTAAAGAAACATTTGATTTAAACATCTTTTGAATGCCTGATGTAGCTTTTTACCTACAGCCTTACAAAATATTCAAAATTAATAGTGGCTGTTATGTTGAGGTTCAAGTATTATGCTTGGAAACAGCAGCTGAGAGAACAATCAATGTAAGGTCCATTTAGTTGCTGTTCTGGAGCATTTGATCAGACTGTGCTAGCCCACTTTTCATGGAGATATAGATGTTTCAGATTTTCATTTTTTTCTGAGCACTTTCAGGACTTCTTGTCCATGTTGACTCCAAGTGCTAATGAAGATCAAGTGGTATGATCAAAAGCCCAGAGCAGCAACTAAATAGACCTTGTAGTGAGATTGCTTTTTTTATATAGCTATTATGACCTTTCTCATTAATGTTCCCATTGTTTCCAGTTGTCTGCCAATAAACCATCACCCGCCATTCTTCCTTGAGAGTGATTCAGCGCAGTTCAATTTAATCTTTATTGTCCCCTGAGTCAAATATGGGTTGCAGATGGAGTTAACAATAAAATGATGAAATAGAAATACACAATAAAAAGGCGCAGTAGGAATGCAATAAAATGTAGGAACACAAGTAAAATCACAAAACCCAGCCAACAGTTTTATGCCACACCGACAAGCATGAGCTAATAAAACCCTGCAGGGAGTCAACAGCTGAATATGCTGCAGTAAAAGACAAGAAAAAAAAAAACAACAACCACCAATCGGTGCTGCCAGTGCTTCTACCAGGACGAATTGGTGGAAGCTTGTATGACTGACAGTAATAAGGTTTACAAACAACATTCAATTTTGAGAAAGAGTCTCAACATTATATCTATAGTGTGTGAATAATGGGACAACTAGAGAAAAATCCACTGAGAACAGTTTAACGTTATTTAAAATAGTCTGTTTTGCTGTTCGGAGTTCAGTTTTTCTAGTGCTGCTACAATAGTATGAAAAGGAAAAAAAGGACTACAAATGCATCACCAATTGTTTCGGTTATCTAAAACACCAACAGTAGGCTAAATAGCTTGTTTTTGGTGTCAGTCCCTCGGGGGTTTTGAGCAAAGTGCTTCTTTCTAGACTCTTCATTTTGCAGAGACTTTCAACCGTCACACAGGGAAAAAGAAATCCACCAAGAGAGACAGCAATCTCTCCACCAACAGCAGCCTCAAGGGACCAGAGTACCATGCATCCAGAAGACAGGTTGTGTTATCAGTATATAAATCTCCCTTTTCTTGGATAGAAAAAACATGTGCTCTTGCTGTCAGTATCACTTCTCTTTCTGCTATTTCTCATTAACCGAACATAAAACTCAAATCTAAATACAACAACTTCATACTTGTTCTGTTGTAGTTGTGGGAAATGCAGGAAATCTTGTAAAATAAATGTAGACCAGGCAGGTTGAGGGGATCCTGGGATTCACCAAAAAGAAAAAAGAGGAACTTCTAACAACTTCAGCACAAAATAGCGCCTAGATTTCGAGAAGCATCACAGGCTGATGAGATCTCAGCAGTGCGCCAGGAAAAAGTGAGTGAGGTGATGGGAGGTCTGGGCCTTTATACAGCTGTACACTCTTTTTCCATCTACAGTGAGATTTTCTTTCTTTATTTTTCTTTTGGAGCAGGTAGGTGGCTGGGTGGACCTGGTTGGAGGCAATGTTTCCTGCCTTTTTCTTTGCCCCTGGTGTCGCAGCTCCTTGATGGGGAGCAGCTGACAGCCGATGACCCGCTCTGCAGTCAGCAGTGCACACAAGGTGCTGCAGTTTGTCCTTGGAAGCAGGAGGAGGCTGGGCCACACTGAATACCAGTACACTTTCGATTATTGTGTCTCAAAAATCGGACTGGGATAGGTTGTGTGGTGTCAGGTTTTCTCAGATGCCAAAGGAAGACGACTGACTGTTGTGGTCTGCTAATGAGGCAGGAAACGATTTCTTTCCATCTGCAGGCGTTAGTGGATTCAAGTGCACTCATGTGTGTGTCTCTGTTTGTGTTTGTACATGATATGCATCCCATCTGCAGAAAAGATCAATGTTTGTATGAATATGAAGAAGGCGGTTATAGGGGAAAATGGTCTTGCGGCAGATATAGTGATTTATTAGACTGCTCACACACACACACACACAAAGATCCTCACAGAAAGAGAGAAAGAGGGAGTAGGAGCAAGAGAAGCAGACAAAATTTGCTCGAGGCAATATTACCCATCTCTGTTGTCTTAAAATCTAGCCCGCAGTCTGCAGTCGAGATTTGTGTCAATATAGGCACGCAATACACACACATGTATTCACCAGCAAGCTGATCTGCACAGTGGAGGGGTGCATGACAAACATGTTATAAATAAATATATCCACATCAGATGACATGAAATAAAGTGGAATCAGAGCATGTGAGCAGGCACAAAGGCAGCAGAGAGGATCCTAACACATGGCTTGATAACACAGTTTCAGATGCTGCTACTAGAGTAAATTCACTGTCTCGCTGTGGGACTCATTAAAGCGCACCAGTATAGCATCATGTGGGCACCCAAACTGAGTAAATGTTGTCCCTTACCCTCAAAAAACCAAGGTTCATTAAGACACGCAAGAGCAAATGGGGGCCCAAAAGGAGCAGGCGTGTGTGACCCATTTTGACTCGTGACTGCGCCATAGTTTGCTGTAAAACACACACACACAAACAGTGAAGTGGCTGAAACTGAGACAGGATGTGGATAAAGGCCACACATGTCAAATGTGCCAAATGAAATCACATTAGTAACTTAAGTGAAATCTAATTAAATCAAGTGGAATCAGCAACTGAAGTGGTAAAACTCCTGCTGGTCGGCTCTATGCCCTGCAACCATGGCATACATCGGGCTGCAAAAGGGCTTTTCTTCAAACACAAAAGACTGCAGCACCGTTGTTGTTGCACTTCTTCAAGTTCTGCTTTCTCCTAATTTCCCCCCAAAGCACTTAAAGCTCAGAGACCATACAGCCTACACAGCCAATGTTTTGGGATACACTGGGTGTAAAATTTCATCCAATACCCAGGCATTAAAAGTCATACCAGGGGTGTTTTAACTGACCAGCAGTCTATATAACCAAACTGTTAAATGGAGGCAATAAAACCGTCTTATGTCCATGAGCCAGATGGTGGCTCTGTAACAAGCTTTTTATGCTTAGGGCAATTATTTGTAAGCCACCAATTATAGAGACACAATTCTTTTTTCTGTCGTGTTTCTTGGTAAAAAGTGAATCAGCTGCACATGGCAACATTAGGTTCTGCCAAGCAGGATTTTTCACCATATTGAATTTCCTTAATATCTGTGTAAACTCCTCATTAGTCATTCATTCAGTCACCTTCTGCTTCAGCATCTGGCATCTCTGGACCCTCATGATTACAGCCGCAGTGTTTTGATTTTGCTTGACCATTGTGTTACAGCTCAAACAGTTCAAGGGTGAGGCAGGAATTTGACAAAATATTCTGTGCTGAAACCTGACATTGTGGATGGCTACACATCATCTTACATTGTTTTAAGATTTGCATACAATTGATTCTGTAATAATCGGATACCCATAAGTCCATGATGCTTTTTGAAATCACTCTTTTGAGTATGTAACAGAGAATTAATTTTCATTCAGGTGCTTGATCCAGCCAGTTGCTTCTAAAGACTAAACTACTACTTGTTACTCTTCTCATTATGATATCAGTATGATCTCTTAGGTTATATGATGGCATTTTGTTACACTTGACCATTAAACTACTCAGAGCTTTCATCCTCTGTTGTGTCTCACGTCAACTGGCAGATGTTGCAACACTGACACCTGGCTGTTAAATACTACAACTACAATGAGATTACTGTGAACACTAAGTAAAATTATTTGCCTATTTATGTCTGCGTCATCTTTATTCCCACGCTGTTTGTGGATGCATGTACTCTGTCTGTCCTCAATAAGAGGTTTTAACCCAGATTATTCTTTTACCTGGCTAAATGCTAAAGGTAAAGTTGTGAAATGCCAAGAAAAACCACTGTTGAATCAAACAAAATGAATTCAAAATCAGCCCAGTAAAGGGGGAAATAGCCATCCTGATTTTATTAAGGGAGGGCTATAAGTAGGATGTGAAACTGCCCAATCAAAATAATATAAAGTATCTATATTTTATTTTTAAAATGTATTGTAGATATAAAATGTATGCTCCAGGTTATCTGGTTTTCCAGGCTCCTATTCTCAAAAGCAGGTTTAGATGTTATTGTTATTTTAGACGTTTTTTGTTAACTCAATAACTTCGTTTATCTATAAACTACAGTACCCGTCATGCCTCGCTGGCTGCGTGATGATGTCACAGAACATCAACTACTCACATGTGGCCTAAGAGCGCTGTTGCTGTACCGTGCTAGCAACAAATGGGTAAAGTGGAACTGGTGTCTCAGCCGAAGCGCCACATAAAATAAATATAACACAGATAACTAACACGCTTTTGTACACAATTAAACCGGATCTAATATGCCTCCAAAGAAGCCCGCAGTCCCGGTCAATGGGAATAAAAAAACTCAAGAGAAGAAAAAGGAAAAGATAATTGAGGTAAAAATAACTCGAGTTAGCATGTTAGTGTTTCGCGTTAGCTGGTCAGCTAACGTGCCGGGTATTTTCAGTGCTAACCGAAGGCATTACAAGTACTGACAGGTGAACGCTGGTATCTGAACAGCTGCCAGCGTTATCTAATCGTTAAGTACCCGTTTTGGTTACAAAAGCGCTAATCACTTTAATTCGATATTAAACGAGCTAGCCAGCTGTCAAGCGGCTAACTTTGAAAAATGTATGTAGCTTACTGGGGCGGCCAAGCTACAAGGGCCGTGCCGCCTCACTTGTGTTCATACATTTTCTACGTAAGGTTGGTATACGTTCCTAAATTCACGAGCTAAAACTGCGAGAGTTAACGTAACATATTGTTTAGTGTTTTACACGATTTGGTTGGTTGGTTAATACATAAACGGGCTTCACAGCGCGGTGCAGTAGGCCTGGCTGTGATCGGGCCACAGCACAGACGAGGGAACAGATTTGCACCTGTATCGGTGCTGAGTTAAAACTGGTTAGTACCTTGTAAACGTAATCCTTTTTATGTGACATTACTCTTAATTTCGAGCTGGTGGTCCCCCTAACCATAAAACATGATCACTGTCAGTGTAACCAGCATTATCCGCCGTTTGCCGTGGTCCAGACTCAGTTTGTACTGGAACTTAATAATGTGCCAGACTGTTTATTATTGTACTCCTTGTAGATCTGTCCTGAATGTTAGAGCTGGAAAATGTCGATCACAACACGTAGTGATACTGAGCAAGTACACTAGTGCAATAACACATTTCATATGCCATTTATGGATAAGGCTACAAAATCTCATGAAAAGGCCAAACCTAACTTGTGCTGTGATGATTTACATGATCAGTTGTTGCAGATTATTGTTTTGTTTTGTCATTTTGTGTCTAAAATGGCAGTAAATGTGAGAAATGCCCATTGTAATTTCCCATGGTCCAAAGTAAAGTCTTCTGATGTCTTGGTTTGGCAACAGTCCACAACCCAAAGATACTCGGTTTACTTTTATGTGTAATAAAGAAACGTATCAAATCATCCTTTTGTCAGGAACTAAAAACAGCACATATTTGATATTGTTGCTTAAGCTTTACTAAAGGGGCAATTTGATTATGAAAATAGCTGCTGATTAATTTTCTGTTGATAGTCTGTTGACTAATTGTTGCAGCTTTAAAACTAACAGTGCATTGACCTTGTTTTAAAACCCTGTGGTAACAACAGTCTTGACTGTTCATTGTATGTCACACTGTATGGGTCTAATAAATTGTTGGTTACAATCTTTGTCAATGCTGGATGAGCTCAGCTAGGAGGCATGCCAGATTTTGCAGTGGTATATCTGTATCGTAGTACTGCAATATCAGAATATGTGAGCGGACACGCAGCGCCAGTTGTGTCATTCTGTGTTGCTCTTGTGGTTTGACAAAGCACAAAAAATAAGCAATAATGCTGTTTACATAGTTGTCGGCCAGTGTGCTCAGAAATACATAGTGTGTGTGTGTAGGTACTGCTACAAGTGCGTTCCCCCTCATCTTGGTATGTTGTGGAAAACATGTTTGTAGGAACTCGTTCATGTTTGGAACGGCTCACTGTTACTGGAAGATAATCATAGAACTTATGACTAATATACATGTTTTGTTTCCCCCAGGACAAGACATTTGGCTTGAAGAACAAAAAAGGGGCTAAACAGCAGAAGTACATCAAGAACGTTACTCAGCAAGTGAAATATGGACAACAAAGTGCCAAACAGGTACGTGTAGGCAGACGGTGTCTGTTTCTTTCTCCATCCATTTATACCTATTACTATCTCTTTCCTGAACAGAAAAATCAAACATCTGGTGCTGTTTCTTACTTTGCTTTTCTTCTACCAAGTCATTTTAATTTTTGAATTGTCACTTTCAGGACTAGATTGCAACAATCAGGAGATTTTGGTTACCTAAGCTGTGTGATGAAAATAAGTGTGTGTTTATATGTACAGATTGCCCAGGCTGAGGCAGAAAAGACCAGTAAAAAGGCAGATAAGAAAAAGGAGATGGATGAACTCAATGAGCTGTTTAAACCTGTAGTTGCTGCCCAGAAAGTCAGCAAAGGTAACAACACAGTCTGAAAGTTGAAAGTGACAAAAGATGAATCAAAATAATTTTGCTAGTCTCTCATTTTAGTTGTTCAACATGTAAAGATACCAGATGTTTGCTTGCTGTCACTGTGTGTTCACTAAATTTGACCAATGTACTATAGGAGATAATCAATCAGTCCTCTCTTATTTCTGCAGGAGTCGACCCAAAGTCAGTGCTGTGTGCATTCTTCAAGCAGGGCCAGTGTTCGAAAGGGGACAAGTGCAAATTCAGCCATGATTTGTCCATGGAGAGGAAATGTGAGAAGAAAAGCGTCTACGTGGATGAGCGAGATGAAGACCTGGAGAAAGGTCAGTATGTCGTGTAGATGACCAGGATACTGGGAGACAATACAGCCGAGTGGCGACATCATTTCTACATCATGTTTACTTTTATTAAATTGACACGTTTGATGTAATCATCTCTGAATGGCTAAAATAAATTAGTAAAAGGTTTAGCTCTGCAGTGAGCAGTTGAATAATTAGTTGAGCGACAGAAAAATAATTAATTGTTGAAGTTAGATTAAAATTTTTGTCAATACTAAGATTTGTGCAGTTTCCTCCGATGACATTTTCAGCAACTCGCCACACAAATGTCACTGTTGTGCAATGCTAGGCACCATCTTGTTTGTATTAGGTTTTATTTTTTGCAAAGCTCTTGATAAGATGCAAATACTACAGTTAAACATGGAAGAACTCACTTCAGTGACCTGTGTTTAACATGGGGCCTGCTGTGTTCTGGTTAGACACTATGGAGAATTGGGATGAGAAGAAGCTGGAGGAAGTGGTCAACAAAAAACACGGAGAGGCTGAGAAGAAGAAAGCCAAAACGCAAATTGTAAGTCTGGTCTTATGACAAATAATGAATAATGAGTAGAACAAGTAAAGATGAAGATATGGAGGAAAACGGCATTTTCATCAAATGGCCCAAAAAGACCATTTGTTTCCAAATCTGTAGAGCTGAAGGACTTAACAGTTGTAAACTGAGAACCATCTGGAGACTTGCAGGTGTGGATTTTTTTTAGCCTAGTTGTTGTTAATTTTAAAGAAAGTGAATGAAAGAGAACTTGAAATGGTCATGTTACAGACACGGAGAGAAGGACATTGATATGAGTGTTGGGAATTGAAGTATGAATGTGATAATACAAGTGTCAAAACTGAGGATGAGAGAACCAAAGGTTGGGCAGCAGTGCATGTACTGATTGTGGTGTGTTTGGTTGTCTGTGCCATATTGCTCTTTCTGCTGGAGCCATTCACAGGAGAGTCAAGCTGGTCATGATTGAAAGCTTAACTGAGTTCAGTTAATTTGTGATCTCATGGCTGTTTGCCCTGAGACATATTAAATTAAATACAGTAATAATACAAGATGCTGTCTGTTTTCACATTATCTACACTACTGTGTTGTCTGCAGGTGTGCAAGTACTTCTTGGAGGCCATAGAAAATAATAAGTATGGCTGGTTCTGGGTGTGTCCAGCGGGGGGCGACAGCTGCATGTACCGACACGCCCTGCCACCAGGCTTTGTACTGAAAAAAGACAAGAAGAAGGAGGAGACAGAGGAAGAGGTCTCGCTGGAGGAACTCATAGAGAGTGAGGTAAGGATGGATGGAGGGAGGCGCTTCACAGACTGACCAAAATGAGAGAGGCTAAAAGGAATGTGAGCGAGAATGCCTTCGTCACATGAGTGACATGTCGCATATCTCAACAGTCACCATCATGAAGGTCCAGGGTAGAGCTGGGAGTGGACAAAAAGTTTGAAATTGCTGATTGACGCATGTAGCTTGAGTCTTTGTTCTTCAGTTCGTCAGCAAGTTAAGCAGGTAGTCTGTGACTATAAGAGGTTTACACATAAATTCACAATTACTAAGCCCAGCTAATTCTTCACTTCTAGTAAAAATGTTAAAACCAGATGTGTTAGCATGGCATTAGCTTAGTTAGCTTACTGTTCTGTTAGCTGTAGCCTAACAATGTTAGCATTGACCACTATATATTGATTGAAAATATATTGGGTAAATCTTATTTCAGCATAGTGCCGCACGCAGTACATGTGTTCGCTCAGTCCCTCTACACGCCACTCTGTTTCTGTCTCTCGCACACACAAACATGAGGACAAACTGTCTGTGAACAGCTGCTCCTCTCCGTGTTTGTGTGTTTTAACACAACGTTATCAGTTCTAATATGCTCTTATCAAGCCAGTAAGGCTAGGCAAGCTAGCGTTAGAATACAGCTGTTGCCGAGGTCAGCACACTGTATATAGCATGGATGTATATGGACTACTCTGGATAAATTTAATGCTAGTTCATAAACTCTGATGCTGAATGTTTGCCCCCTCAGTCCAGGGAATATTAATTCATTTGCTGAAGGAGCAAGAGAGGGTCAGGAAGAGATGGCTGAATAGAGAGATGTACACTAGGAGAGGAGGGCAGCAGCTAACATACTGCCAGCCATTGCAGGAGGGACAGGTAATATGAACAGCACAAAGGTAGCCTACCACTGTATTACTATATTTAATTTAAAAGAAATTATGAAAACGTGCTACCAAATACAATTGTACAAGTTATAAAATGCCTGTCTACACAGAGAACGGAAACACAAGAAAGATCAAAAGCAACAGAAATAAATCTGTAAGTCAATGAGTCTGAGACAGATGTCTTCAGAGTTTGTTGCACATAAGGGGAGGAGTTCCAACATGGCTGCCACACTGGGACTAAGACTATCTGAGTCCTCCATGTGACTGATGTTACCTTGGAGGCTGTCTTCTCTCCTGACATCTCCCTGTCTCTCTCCAGCGTGCAGCTCTAGGTGTGAACGTGACTCGGATTACCCTCGAGACTTTCCTGGAGTGGAAGAAGAGAAAAAGGCAGGAGAAGGTTGGAGTGTGCTCAGACATTTTCTTAGTGTCAGAGATGTTTCATTTTAAGGCCCTTATATTTCCCCAAGGAAATGAGGTCTTCTGATTATTCAGAACATTTAGTTTTTATTCCATGACTAAATGATAAAACCTGAATCATTTTATTTAAAGTGTAACTGGCTGCTGTTGATTAATAGGTGGATAAAGCAAGGGAGGAGATGGAGAAGAAGAAGGCCGACTTTAGGGCCGGAAAATCGCTAGTGGTGAGTGTGGCACCAGTGGTCTGTGTCTCAGTGTAGCTTCCTGTGGTCAGTTCATGTTATGGACACTGATGCTGCATCAGACATTTCCACAGTAACACGGGATTTAATTAAGTCACGTGTAACTGTAGGTAAGCGGCCGTGAGGTGTTTGAGTTCCGCCCAGAGCTGGTTAACGATGACGACGCTGAAGCCGATGACACTCAATACGCAGATGAAGAAAGCGACGATGATGAGGAAGAGGTAATTATAAAATTATTAACACTTTTGAATTGAATTTGGTGGAGTCGGTACGATTCCGTTCTTGCTGCTTCTGTGTTGATGACGACCTTCTCCTGTCGATGGTTATTTAGTTTGGCTTTGTATGCCTTCATATTGATTTGTGCTCCAGGTGTCCCAGCACAATAACTGCACTCAGCATTGTTTGCTCTCTAATACACTTTGCATTGTTGTTACATAATATAAAGTGCATCAGTCTTGTTGATGTCTGCCACTGTTTCCCAGTTTGAGCCAAGTTATTTTGGTGATGCTGTGAAGTCAGTGTTGTCAGGCAGTCCTCCGCTGGCTTTCAGATGTTCAGAAAAATATTGCAGTATGAGCCCATTGTGCATTTAAATATTTAGAAAACAGCAGTAAAAGGCAACGCGTGAAAACAAGACACATGAAGGGGTTTGTTGACATTTTGACTGCTTTCCCTCATCCTCAAGTATCAATAATGCATCTTTATTACAAGTTACGCTAAGTGGTTTGGTGCTGTCATCAGACTTTGAAGAGCAGGGTTTGATATTTAAATGGTCTAGTTCCTGGTGAATTGGAGTCACCTGCCTTTTCAAACCGCAGATAATTCACATCTTTATTACGTACACCTGTTGTATATTTGTTTGCAGCCAAGAGGATTCAGGCTGTAAATGAATGCACAAGTGTAATGTGACAAGAAAACATTTTCCAGTCATCCTTTTTATTCGTAATTAAACACTTGGATTTTTGGTATCTTAATTAATTTTCTGTTTCCTTGTTTCTGGAAGCAAGATGGTATTGTGTTACAACTTTGTCCAATCAAAAACAGTCTGATTTCTGCCAGTTTTATTGGCATCAAGCTTTTATTTAGGAAACCTGAGGGTCCAGATAGCACTGAAAGGTACTTCATACCTGGACTTCATACTGCTAATTAATCTCTTACTTTTTAATGCACAGTATACACTTACACATGTTCACTGTTACTCAGCACCCAGTATGACTTCAGTGGCCAGAGACAGAACTGCATTCAGTTTGTATTGTAAACTAAACCACAGCCAAATGACAGGTTTTAACTCCAACATGGTGCAAGAAATATAAAGCAGAAAATCTGTTTGTGTGACTTACTGAGTTACACTGGCTATGTCTGAACAAAAGACATTTTGGAGGTCCTTGAGGCGCACGTTTTATGAATATGGACTCTATAAATAAAATCTGGCTTGATCTTCACACCTGCACATGCAGAGTGTGGCTCATTTTTGTTGTGGTTTTGCCGAGACCAGAGCTCTCAGTGTTTTCTGTTCTACATTTCCTGTGTCACGCTCCTGTCTAAACCTGCTGTTTGATTTCAGATTGATACTACAGAGGTCCAGGACATAGACGTGTCCCGTTTCGTTCCACAAGAGGTCGACAACACAGGCATTACCGTAGCATCCATGGACCGTTTCACCTCTAGGAATAAGACTCAGCCGACAGAAACAGGAAACGGTAAGAAAAACTTGCTGATTAGAAAATGTGAATTTTGCCTAGTTGCCATGTATCTGTAAGTATCTGAAGAATTTTGCCATAACTTACAGCCCCATTCAGACAGGATCTGTATTACAGGAGGAGGTGGGGGGATAAGCTAATCCCTGCGGTCACTGGTAATGTAACTCAGGTGTGGACAGGATTTGGTCTGTAATAGACAGGAAGCAGGCTAATGTGTGAGCTGAATTTGAGTCAGAAATCATAATTCTGTCATGAAATACATACTGATATCATTCAGTGTGACTTGCACTTCTGTGAATATCACCAATGACCATCCACAGTTATCGTCCTTAAAGAACTTTCCTGAGATTCATCAAAACTCGGATCCACTTGACTGCACAGGGCCGTCTTCACTGAGGGATTTAAATGACCGCAGAAGCAGCGAATTCACTGAAAACCAGTAGATAATTTGGCTGCACTCCAGACTGGCTGGAAACCACTGACCTGCACACCCACTAAACTCACCCCACATCCCCTAGAGATATACATCTGTCTGAATGGGGTCTAAGATGGTGTTAAAGAGGAACACTAAGTACAATATGAGCACTTTTGAAACTGTTTAAAAAAATATCCTCCCTGCTCATTTCCATCTACAGAGGAGCAGCTGAACGGAGCTTGCGGTGGCGCTGAGGCCAACGGGCTTTCGGGTGCAGAGGGAGGAGGAGAGGATGGAGGAGGGCAAGATGAAGATGAAGAAGAAGAGGAAGAGGAGGAGGTACCGGTGGATGAGAACTTGTTCACAGGGGAAGATTTGGAAGAGCTGGATGAAGAACTCAACACACTGGCGCTGGAGGACTGAGAGGGAGCACAAGGTGGAAGTTAGGACGGACTAAGTGACAAAGGGACTGACCAATGGGTGCATGGAGCTGAGCAACAGAGAGACTAGATGAATGATTTTAAATTTCAGAGACTCCAGTAATAAAGCCTGATTATATCACGACATCACTGCCTGGCTCTGCCCCCTCTGTTTTCTGTATGACCCTTTGACCGTCTGTCCCAGCAGGATCATTCAGGGTTTATCAGAGCCGACTCCACATGCTGCTGGTTAGAATTTCCATTAAGAGAATTTATCTGTTGGTGTGTACACTCTTTGTTGCCTGACAAACATAGCAACCCATGTTCAAACTGAAATTACTTTAGATAAATAAGGCTTTAAGGGTTCTTTATTTAATCACAGTTAAATAGTGAATATGGTGATTTGCAGAATGAGACATTACAAACAAAAGCACTGTAAGAATGCAATGTGGGACACAGCTTCAGTAACTAATGTTATTGATGGATGTTTGAGAGAGCTGCTGTAAACTGAATTCAAAGTGGGAACAGGAAGGATTCTGTTCTAAGAAACAATCTGTTCAGAGCTTCAGCTGCTTCCATACAAAGTCACGGCTGTAGGGTGTCAGCACTTTCACCGCTGTAGTGAAGACATTTTCTTTCAACAGTTCCATTATTTCATTTAGCTGAAGCTAAATTTCGTTTGAAAATGCATCCTAACTTTGTGAAGTCAAAGTCCAGATCTAGCTTCTAAAATACCAGCCCTACTTGAGACCAGGTTAGTGCTATAATTAAGCCCCAGCAGGGAGACCAAACAACCCCATTACCAGCCCAGTGTTGTATATAATGTTCTCAAATTGCCTTTTCAAGAAATAAAATATTACTATACACCCACTGTGGTTCTTCTTGGATGATGCTGAGTTCTACGTTGTGACTTAGCAACAGACAGTTGGTGAAATGCTGTCAATGACTGCATTTGCTTTAAGTGAGTCAGTTTCACAGTGCTGGTATTATTCATCAGGCAGTTACAAAAGAGGCGAGACAATGCTGAATGGTGTGTTGAACTGAGCTTTATTTCTAGTGAGACAAAAGGTTCACAGTAATATTCATGTGAAGCGAGCTCAACGTGTAACTACTGGGTATACCACAATTAGAAAAAAAGGATCAGGTGTGAACTACAAAAAGGTTTAGATTCAGTTTTACACATCCACGTTGTTTGGCTTAACAACAGACTGCAGCCCCTGCCCAGTTCTTCAAGAAGAAAATGTTGACAACTACCTGAATTAAAATGTTGTTTCAAGTGTTTCTTCTGTCTGTTGATAAATCATTGTGTGCTACTGCTGTAGTTGCAGTTAGTCCAAACTAACACGAGCCAAAAAACAGTGTCGACACTGGAACTATGTACTTCACGTATAGATAACACATACTGTATGTGATTAAGATTCTGTTTTAGTAGTGTTATGTTGTTATATCAGTGAGTCACAGCAAGGTCACTGACCAGAGGTTAGGTCAGACAGGTGTCAAAGGTCGTGTCAGAGGTTGGGAGAAGGTCTTGATGTCGGTCTGTCAGGTCAGGTGTCATTGTGTCATGACAACAGTCGCCTAGGGAACAAGAAGCTGCAGCGTTACTCACAAGAAGAGAAACAACTTATCAGAAACTAGTTGACTAACGCTTTTGTTTTGACCAGTAGAAACTGGCAGGAGTGTAGAGGTGTCGCACGCTACTGATGTGTGCAAATAAGCAAGTTCACCTGGAGGTAAATACTTTAGATTAAGGACAAAGTATTTTGTATACTAAAAACCATGAGAATATACTGTACATCTAACATCCTGTTAGTTTCTGAACAGTGAATTTAAAAACGGTGTCACAGAGGGCCAAGAGTTAATAGAAAACGGTGTCACAGAGGGCCAAGAGTTTGCTCAGTCAGAGGAGGAAATAGTAAAATGAATCTCACTGGAAACTTTCCCTCCACAGCACATAACTACCCGTTTCTGCCTCAACAGAAATAGCTGTTATATATGATGTACAGTATGTGACAGCAGTGTATAGTTGTACTTTTGTGTTACAGATGTAGTAACTACTTAAAAAAAAAAAAAAGCTGTTATCTTATTTTTAAAATCCTCATTTTTCCTCTCCATTTCCAGCATCATACAGTTGAAGTGTCAGTAAAATGTCTGTACACCCTGCACTGACCCTCTTTGTGTTTGCACGCAGTGTACGTACTACATTTCATAACACACATTGGCATTGCATTCAAGACATAAGACTTAATATCTTCCCTAGCACTCCTGTGAGAAATGTACCTTTTCTGCTGTCCGTGTGTGTTGCTGGGAGAAATCACCTAACAGTTCAGTACATTTTCAGTATATAGAATACATACAGTAAAACACTTTGGTACCAAATGTCCTGTTATTCATACTGGTGACCCCTGCAGCAGAAAGCCTGACACTTACCATTTCATTTCTGTGACGCAGTCCTAGTAGGTGCGAGGACGTTTGTGAGATTCCTCTCTGGGAGGATCAGCCAGCATCACCTTCATCTTCACTCCATTGACGACACGACCGTGGAGCGCTGCCATGGCCTCATCTGCACACTGAGCAAGGCAGAAGAAGGGGGTGAGGCATGGAGAAATACTTGATTTGAACTGACGCAGAATGAAACGCAGAAAGAGAATGACAGATGGTCAGCGTGTCTGTCCATATGTAACTATATCCGTCCCTCCATCGTTCACTGTCCGTTTATTCCTCCCTTCAGATACTGTTTATCCAACCATTCTAATACACCTCCAACCTCTGTTTTTAACTTTCCTCAGTCCAGTCTCACCTGTTTGTCAGCATACTTCATATATCCAACCTTCCTCCCAGGAACCAGATGCACCTCAATAAGAGAACCAAAGCGACTAGAAAGAAACAGAGGGAGACACAGTGGGAAGGGAAGAGACATTTAATTGTCAGAGTTCATGCTGACTGTCTGGGGCACTGCTTTAATAAAAGCATTACACTGTTATCTCGGAGCACTTAGCTTGATGCTCTCATGCAGAGCAATTTGCAGCGACTGAGCTTAAACACTGTGATTGTCTGAACCTTTGACCTTCTGGTTAACAGACCATTATTCACACCATTTGGCCATTCTATCCTTAATACACAGCAAGCAGATTTAGGTCATCAGCACCTTTTAACAGCATTACAGTTAAGTAAAATTATGAGCCAGTGCAACGACATTTACCAGAAAACGTCCTCCAGCACATCTGGGGGCAGCGGGGAGGGGCTGAACACAACAAACAAGCGCTCCTTTGCCTTGCTGTCGGGTGGAGCGAGCTTCTTTAGAGGGGGCAGGTTGACGTCTGTCTGAATCCGTGGCACTGTGGAGACACTAGAGAAGCTCTGGAGGATGCAAACAAAAAACACACAGGATTAGTGATTTTTTTAATTCATCTACCTGTATAAAACCAAACCGTTACAATGGGCTCCATTTTGTCTTTAAGGTGATGACACTGACTGAATATACTGACAGGTTTTACCACTTGGCTGGTGGAGGGTCCATTCCACACTGCAGCCATCATCTGGGCTGCAACAAATTGCGTGGCCATCCGACCTACAGGACTACACACAGAAACAAGCACGAAGGCTGTTTCAGGCTGCTCTTCAGTGGTTCACACCAATAAACTGTTAGTGTGACCAGATTAGTGAAAGACCAGGCTGTATACACACAGAAACCAGAGATCTAATATCAAACAAACTGTGTGGTGCCAACAGCTTTTACTGCTTCAGACTACATAGTTATTTACTATATGAAGAGTGCTTACTCTCATTCGTCTTCCCATTATTTAATTGATTATATACTGTATAACTTTAAAGGCATTGATGCTACATGCCTTCATTAAGTTCTGACACTTCTGCAGACACATTGTGTATTGTGTGTGTGTGTGAGTGTACCTGCTGCGGTCCTCGCCATCATCTATAAAATTTACTACCAGTCTGTTGCCAGGTGGATATTCAAACCCGTTCAGCTTCTCCTTGGCATAAACTGCTGATCCCAAGTTGCTGTAGCGAATCAGTGCATGACCTGAGGGCACATGGCACAGAAAACACAACCAGGCAGGAGGGTTATGTTTTAAGTGCAATACTTCAGTTTAGAGTCACCAAAATGAACAGCTGGTAAACATCAACACTCACAGATGACAGGAAGTAGAAATGACAGCAAACCAGGTGCTATTTGCACCTTAAACTTTCCGACATGACCTTAGGAACACATGCTTGATGAAATACAATAAACTCAGAGCTCATTTACTAGGATTTTCTAAGACATTTGACTGCATCCCTGCTATTATTCCTATTATTATCCTGCAAATGGAACTTGCTAATCGCAAAAGTACACAATTTTGTCTTGTACTCATCACAAAAAAAAAAAAAAAAAAAAAATCCCCTCAGGTTTAGAATTAAAGACACCTTCACTTTGTGCAGTCCTAGTTTCCAGAGGAACATGTTTAATCACTAACCTTTGCTCATTCCATAACTGTCTCTCTGCAGCTCGCAGTACTCCATACCAGGAATAATGTCAAACAGAGCAAAAATCTGCTCCTGGGTGAGTCCAGCCCGTGTTGACATCATCAGGCATCGTGTGAAGTCACCGGAGCGGTAGTCCACCACCGGGAAGCTCCCAGGGTCAGCTGTAGAGGGAACAGGGATGCCGGGGTCAGTGGGAGAGGATTCTTAATGTATTCATACCAGAGACCTCATACAAGTGATGCTTCAAGTTGTAATTAAGTGCATTTGTTGCAGAAGACTGTCAATTCCCTCCTCGGGAAACCTTTGAGTTAACCACTGAAACAGTCACCCTGCTGGTATAGTTCTTCTTTAAATGGCTGTGAAAGAATTCCAGTGTGCTTCTGCTCAGTACCAGTGAGAACTGTACATACCCCATGACTTAATCATGTACATCCCCTGTGGGACATAAACCCACAGTGAGCTCCCTAAATAACCCACAGCGGACTTTAACTCGAACTCGCTGGCTGCTTGAATGTGGGTTTTGGAAGAGCTGTCTTTCATTTTTGGTTTGTTTAATTTTATGGACTCACCAAAAGTCTTTTAAAGCATACTATAAGTGTTTATACCTGATCCAAATGGTCACACTTGACGGTGGACTGAAAGCCTACCGTCAAAGAGTGAGGGAGGGTTTCAAAGCTTTTCAACCCTCCGACAAGCAGCTGTGACTCTTTATTTCTAAAAAGTCACATAAGAAACCAAAGGCATGACCATAAATATACATGAATAAATTATACCAATATTAATCCGCTTAAACAAAGATAAGAAATGTTCTCAATTGCCAACAGCACACACATAATAGAGGAATCAGTGATCTGTCTCATGCCTGACTGAAGTGCTGGTCAAAAGCTTGAAAAAAAAACTGACAACCTAAACCCAGATATAACAACATAAAATTCAGATGTCAAACAACTGCATACCCATCGAGAAGGTGTAGTGGTTCGTGGAGTCAGCACCACCCACATAATCACTTCTGGCCGCTGCCCCGCTGTACTCTTCTGTTGAAGAAGCCTTGGTGCGAGGTTCAGCCAGGATGGCCCTGTAAGCTAACAACACCGACAACATGAGCGCTGCAGTAACAACAGTGATGTGTAAACGTGGTCGGAAAGACACACACATTCTGGCCCCTGTACACTACAAGCTCAGGTATGAATAAGTACATTTTTCAGTTTTTGTAGTAAAAATGTACATCTCTCAGTACATTTCCTACTGCAAATAATAGACCAGTAAAAGCTTTTACACATCTTACCTTTGTCACAGAGTTCTATAGCGAGGGCAGCTTCAGAGGGTTTGTAGTATCTCACATAACCCAGTCCTTTACTTTCTCCTGTGAACTTGTTCTTGATGATCACACAATACTCAATATCGCCATATTCCTGAGAAAGAGACAGAGACAGAGGCAGAAGACAGGGGTTACATATTGCTTAATGTTTACTTTACTCACATAACCAACATAGAGCACTTTAGGGCATCGGCATGTTTCACAAAGCCTAAACTTAAGATTTAAGACTTAAGATGTACTCACATCAAAGTAAAACAGAAAAGTCAAAGTTTTTTGTTAAGGTATATAGCACTGAAATAAACATCACTCCTATGGTGTGTTAAAGTCGTGCCAAGTATTTCTGGTGATAATATTGGTGTCACCTGATTCATGTCACTTAGTACATGGATGTAACGAGACAAAGGGAGAAGAGGGTGCACTTACTTTGAATGTATTTTTGAGGTCCTCCTCTGAGAAGCTTTTGGGGATCATGACAAAGATCCTGGTCAGCTGCTCATCCTCAACGTCTCGATGTGTTGCTGAAGACCGTGACTGGGCGATAAATACCTGTGCAACCAACCATGGGTTGAGATGCGATAACTGCAACCAGGTTGTCTAAATGATGATTTTCAGTTATTATTTATCGCTATTTAGAGACTTGTTTGTGACTCCCAATTGGATTTCCAACATGTACAGCATAGCATAGACTGAACAGCCACGACATTAAAACCACTGGCAGGTGACATGAATGACACCGATTATCTCCTTACAGTGGTACTTGTCAAGAGGTGGGGTACATAACACAGCAAGTGAACAGTCAGTTCATGAAGATGACATGTTGGAAGCAGGAAAGGATCCAAGTGACTGACAAGAGCCAAACTGTGATGATGAGATGACCTGGTCACAGCATCTCCACAACTGCAGGTCCCATGGGGTGTTCACAGTGCTCAAATGTTAAGGTGGTGCCTTCGCCTCTAAAATCCCCCGATCTCGGTACAATCAAGTATCTATGTGATGTCCTGGAAAAACACGCCTGACCCATCATGAGGCCCGACTGCACAACTTTCAGGACTTAAACGATCTGCTGCTAACATCTTGGTGTCAGATACCAGAGGACACCTTCAGAGGTCTTGTGAAGTCCATGCCTTGATGGGTCAGAGCTGCTTTGGCACAAGGTGGTTTTAATTTTGTGGCTGATCAGTGGTTTGCCAGGCCACTTCAGTTAATTATAATTTCCATCTTTTACAAACACAATATTTGTTTTCTCTTCTCCTAGTCCTATGTGCTTTGTGTTTTGCAAAACGATGTCATGGTCAATCAAGATAATCCACATTCATCGACGTTTTCATACTATTTATTAGAAATAGAAAGCAGTTTACCAGGAACCCCGAGTGTGTGGATTATCCGGTACAACTGACAGTTTCTGGAAAATGGGTTAACGTATATATATCCCACCAGCTTACTACAGAAACAAACCATAAATAAATAAACAGTTCAATGCTGACCTGTCGCAAAACCTAACGTAAACTCTCTAATTTGCAGACGCCACACTGCACATCGTGGTTGCAGCAGTGGATGTGACTACTGTTAGAGTTCTGTTTGCAAATATCTCAGACGTTTACCTGAAAACCTTAAACTACACACGAACTATCTACATTGCTAAACACCAGCAGGGGAGAGTGAGAACTGTGGTTTCTGTATTTTGGGTGAACTGGTCCTTTGAAAATGGATCTTGCTTTCCATTGTAGCTAACTAGCTATTCACCAGATGGTGCTGGTTACCTTAAGATTCGACAGTTTTAACTGGAAGTTGCAAAGCATTAACGACAGGTAACCCAGCTCCTCAGCGGTCTAACGGTTAACGCTACCTTGATGGGTTTAGTCCCATCCATCAGCACTTTGCCGTGCATTTCCTCCATGGCCAGACAGGCCTGCGAAGACCGGGCGAACTTCACATACGCAATGCCTTTGGACTCTTTCGTCTGTTTGTCTTTGACAACCCAGACCCCTTGAATGTCCCCAAAATCAGAAAAACGGTCTCGAAGCTCATCTTCAGTTATCGACCGACTTGTGACCACGAAAAGCCGACTGTTCGGGGGATCATCTAGGTTTTCGATCACTT